TTTAAATATGCGCACGAAAACATTCCATTTTTTCCAGTGACTGGGTATTTACTTTCTGTTAACATCATTATTATTTGGAAACTGTTTTAGATGGCAACAGCGGAACATGTTCAATCTGGTCCAAAATATCGTGACATAGTTAGGAATATGCGGCGAACAAGTAATACTCATCTTCAGACATTCATCAAGGAAATCTTACAGGTCACCTCCTGTGATCAAAGTAATCTTGCTAATAACAATGACAAAATAATGATCAGAGTTTTATCATTGTTTGATGGCATAAGTACCGGTAATGTATATATAAACAACTACGTATGTTTATACATGAGGCTATCCATGATTCACCAAAATTTATTCTTTCATTATATACCAATCTAATTCTCATTATTAAAGCCTACAATAAAAATTAGAATCTTAAAACCTGAACTAAAATTGAATATGTTTCGCCCCAAGTATTGTGATTGTCGATGTACATAAAATGGAGTTCTTACATTTCAATCTTACTTGATTTTTTTTGTGTTCTACATGGATTCAATAATACAATTATTTCTATCTGAAAGTCAGCAACTAGAAAACTTTTTTTTGTTTTTCGAAAGGGTACAATCTAATTTTGTCTACTTTCTCATATTAAGTTTGAAATAATTGTATCATTGAGTCAAAGTTTATGTAAAGTAATAGTATTTTCATAAAATATAAAAAAAATATTCGAATTAGCTAAAATATCTGACAAGGTAGATCAAGTGATGATCGAACGAATTGTCCCGATTCATTTATTGTTAGATGGATCACCCTGCAATAATCTTACTCAACTCGAAGCGCCGTGGCCTTAATAGTAATTCATAACCAATGTTCACTCCTTTATAAATTAACTATACAAACAGTATTGTTTTATTTCAAATGTGTTTTAACTTTTTTGTTGGATCAAATTGGAACAGGAATCTTATTCTATAAATACTATCGTATTCTCGAATAGTTGAAAAAACATAATGGAAATACGGAGCTACATTGGCTGTATGAAAATGTCGCGATAATAACATCTACAACAACAAAAAATCAGCAAGTGAGTAATAATTGTAAAAAACGAGAATATGGACCTTGTAGTTCCATTAAAAAAATTATTTTTTTAGAATACTTGAACAAGATCCAGTGCTCTTTGATGCTGCTGATTTTTCTACACAACACAGACGGCGATTCTTTCGGACTAATATGACAAATGTTGAAATCCACGAAGACAGGGTCGAATTTCAAGAAACTCTTGCTAAGAACTGCAACCGTCAGGCCACAGTTGCTACGTTAGAGACTATGACGTCAAATTCAGTGTCACTGCAAAAGAGTAAGAAATTACTATGATTGTAAAATGTATTTATCAGAAATTTATTTATTTATGATATTATTTAACAGATAAAGTGATATCTATGAACGGGACAGCTGATTGTGGGTAACTGAAATTAAAAAAATTTAACTTACCTGAACCCAATGTTGGAAATCTGAGTGAAACTTCTCGTTTAAAATTACTTGGCAATGCTTGGCGCGTACGGAGTGTTGTGCTATTCTTCCGCACAATAATATAATTGTTTAAGTCAAAAATGAACTGAAATAACTGTCTTTCTTATAATTTATGTTATTCTGTCACAAGGGTTTTTCGCGCTTTTCTATACAGTGTTGTAACCAATCATAGCCGTTGTAATTAATTTTATAATTGCTATTATTAAGTACTATTTATTTTTCGACTGTTATTGTTAATGTTATTTCTGAAAAAATGAAACAATTAATTTTAATATATTGTAACTATGTTTAACTCGTATTTTAATATTTTTGCATTTGTTACATATTAACATGAAATTTTTGTGTATTACTATTTATGTATTATAACGGAAAATTCAGTTTACGCAGTGTATACAATCTAACATATTATGACAAAAGTTGAATTACCAAAATTCATTTATGAACTATGATGCATAAATATAACAAAAAAACCGTTCATGTAATATATATAATAAATTTCCCCCACTTTATAGAAGAAGGAGAGGCATTGTATCAAGTGGGAGAAAACCGAGGCGATGAGTGAACATGAATTTGTCTAGAGCAGCACTACAAATAGAATCGTCGTTGAGTCATCGAGGAAACGATAACGAGAGTGAAGACTAATCGTGGGATAAAATCACAACAACACATATCAGATGAGTACACCCATCAAAGATATTCCAAGACCCTTCCGTAATAGTTCGCGTGAAAGCATTAGCATTACTGACACCAAGAGCATTTCTACCCTATGTTGATTTCCTCCAAATCGTCTCCTAGTAAATTATAAAAGATACATCAATCCATAAACACAAACCACACTCCGTGCAGAAAGAAATTGCTTATAACGCTTCACTTTATGATTTCGATAATAGAATAAATGAATATCGACGTGAGTTTATCAAATCACCATAATATTTGCCGTAAATTTTCTGTACCTTATATATGCATAGATATGTATAGATCCATATTTCGGTAAGGTAACAAAGGGGCCAAGGCCGTTTGAATTCTCGGGAATCTGCGTATGCGAAGGCCGTTAAATCGATTCAATAAACTCATTGAAAAATAAACACTTTGGGTACGTAGAGACCTTGAACAAGCTAGAGAAGCTTATAGTATCAAAAATACGATATCTCTACTGGCTATTTATTTATTTCATTTATTTTATTACATTACATGCTAGATGTACGAGGCGTATGCGTTAGCACACACTAGGCTCAGATAGGGTGATTGGGAAGACACATGAAAACACAATAAAATTAAACAACATAAAATAACAACGTTTAATATCACTCAAAGGCCAAGAAATTACAGTTAATATTCACCAAAATACTAAAGGTCAAAATTATACAGGAGAAAATAAATATAGTCTTAAAGCAATGAACTATTGAAATATATAAAGGCGAAGAATGTAGAAAGAAAAGAGTCAAGTTGAATAACACAATATGTAAACACGCACTGACCTTGAGCTCGCAAGAGAGTTTTAAAGTTACATGAAATAAATGTGAAAATGAAAGCACTGATATAGTATAACTGATTGAAATATTGATTAACTAAAAACCACTGACTGTAGAAATGCACAATTACTGTCTGTGAAAATACACAAGAGTTTCACTGAGTCTTGTTGTTGATAATCACCGGTAGTTCGATGAGATTAACTATTTGAGCTGCAAATTATGCAGTGAGCAACTTAAACAAAGCACTAAGTGCACTGCACTGCACAACTGAGTTTTGTCCACTGTATTGCGAGAGTTAATCAGAAGATTTACACTAGCATTTAAGGTGATGTATGTCCCTTTGAATGCTAGAGTTTGGCAACGTAAATTAAGAGAGTCTATCTTCGACGAGAGCTGAGTATAATCTGGCACTTACAGTATACAAAGCTTGCCGCGTAAATACGCACACACACACCTGCAGCGCGCCAAGTCGACCAAGCGCACACGCACAGAGCGTTGAGCCGACAGAGACTACAAATGTACACAATGTACATAAAAGCCGGGCATACTGTCGGTCGCTCTCATTTCCAACATTCCGTCCGCCGTCAGTCAACGGCTGACAACAGCCGTAGACCGGCAGTGGCACCAACTTGTGAATTGGTCTCCTGAGCGCGCCCACTGAGGTCCTGAGAGTCACCACTCTAACCAGGCCATCCTTGCCTGGGTGGACGTCGACGACTCTGGCCAGCGGCCACTTTCCTGGTAGTAGAGTCTCACTAGTTATAAGCACCAATGAGCCTGTCTTGATGTCATGAGCTGGAGTATGCCACTTGGAGATTGAGTTTTATCTAAGCAAGTACTGTGTAGACCACTGCTTCCAAAACCTTTGTTTCTGAGCTTGGATTAGCTGCCAGCGAGTGAGCCTTGCTAGAGGTAAATCCAACAAGCACGGCTCTGGTGGTGAGTTTAGCGCCGATCCGACTAAGAAGTGTCCGGGAGTGAGCGTGTCTAAATCCTCTGGATCCTTGGTAAGTGGTTCTAGTGGTCTAGAGTTAAGTATTGCTTCGATTTGAGTGAGCAACGTCGTGATCTCTTCAAGCGCGTAAAGAGTCTCTTCCATAATCCGATGGAGATGGTGGTTCATCGACTTCACTACTGCCTCCCATTTTCCTCCCATGTGAGGAGCAGCTGGAGGGTTGAAGTGCCATGACGTTCCATCTTGGGCGAGCATGGCTGATAGATGAGAATTTCGACTGATTGCTTCTGAGTATAACTGTTGAAGAGCCCTGTCTGCACTAACGAAGCTCGTCCCACAATCAGAATACAACTTAAATGGACGTCCCCGACGTGAGACAAATCGCCAATACGCTGACAAGAATCCTTCGGTAGAGTAATCTGTCACTGCTTCGAGATGCACAGCAGAGGTCGAAAAACACACGAACACACACATTCAACCCTTGTATGTCTTCGATCCTCTGCCACGCCAAGATTTGAGATGTATCGGACCTGCGTAGTCGATACCCGTGTGAGCAAACGGTCTGGAGGGAGTCACCCTGGCCTCGGGTAACTGTCCCATGAGTTGTTGTGCTCTTTGTGCCCGGTACCTGACACATTTGACACAGTAGAGGATTCTGGATCGGATGGGGGCCCTTCCACCGATTATCCAAAACTTTTGACGAGTTTTGCTAAGAGTGAGCCGAGTTCCTTCGTGTAGAGTTGCCGATGAGCCTGATCAATAACCAAACTGGTGAATTGAGCTTGACGAGGAAGTAGGGCAGGATGTTTTGCATCAGGTCTGAGCTTGGCATTAATGAGTCAGCCTCCCACACGCAGTATGCCAGCATCATCAGTATATGCCATCGACCGGTGGAAAACATGGCCCTTTGGGAGAGAACCTGATTTGAGCATCTTGATTTCCTCCTTGAAACATTCCTGTTGAGTTAATCTGATGAGTAAGAGCTTAGCTTGAGTGATGAGTTCTGCAGTGACAGCTACGGATGATTCCTGGTGTGTGAGTAAGGCTTTGAACTTGGCACAAGCAAGTTAGAGGGTGGCTGTGATACGATAGAGTTTGTGCAATGTGGAGCTGGACTGAGTGAGCCTGAGTAGGAGCTCCGAGTCTGAGACTGATGACACCAATGCTGACACCTGACGCGCCTCTGTCTCATCCTCCACCTCGACGTCACTTGGCTGCAGAGGCCAACCATCCTGGGGTTGTATCATCCACGTTGGTCCATGACACCAGAGCCTATGCTCAATCAATTGTGAAGTGAGAATCCCTCTCGAAGCACAGTCAGCAGGATTCTCCTTTCCAGGGACATGTCTCTAATGTGCTGCAGGGACCAGATCCTGAATCACTGCAACTCGATTCCTGACGAAATCCTTCCACTTATTTGGATGAGAAGAAATCCAATAGAGTGTGACTGACGAATCTGTCCATGAGTGAATGTTGCTGATATTGAGTGTGAGTTGGTCGGTGACATACTCAGTGAGTTTAGCCAGGATGAGAGCTGCTATTAACTCCAACCTTGGTATTGACATCCTCTTCAGTGGTGATACTTTCGTCTTGGAGCAGACGAATGAGCTTGACGTGGCTGAGTCTGACTTCATCACCAGGTAAATCACAGCACCAATAGCAGCCTGAGACGCATCAGCAAAGCTATGGAGTTCCACTGCAGAAGAAGGATGTGCTCCAAGCCATCTAGGAACCGTCACTCCAGAGAGTTTGGCTAGATCACCTCGTATTTGTAGCCACCTCTGAGCGAGAGCATCTGGTATGGGTGTATCCCATGTAATTTTGAGTAGCCACAATTCCTGAATGATGAGTTTGGCTGCAACAATCATTGGAGCAACTATTCCAAGAGGATCGAAGATTTGAGATATTTCTGAAAGAATTGTTCTCTTCGTTGGAGTTTGACTAAGAGGCTTGAGTGTGCACTGAAAGGTGAGATTGTCTGAAAGTGGTTTCCAAACCATTCCGAGTACTTTAGCGTCGCAGTCATCGTGAGAGAGTGCTGATTCTTCACTGGAGTTTGAGTAACTGAATCCTGGCGAGTTTGAGTGCCACTTAGCCAGGGGCAATCCGCCCGCCATGCACAGCTCCTTGAGTTGGAGGGCCTGCTCGCTCAACTCATCTGAAGTCTCCGCTTCACCAAAAATATCGTCCACATATCTGCCGCTGGTAAGAATCCGAGCTGCCTGGGGGTAACGGTGCCCTTCATCCTTCACCAGCTGCAGCAGTGAGCGCGTGGCCAGAAATGGAGCAGGCCTGGTCCCGTAGGTTACTGTGGTGAGCCGGAAGTGAGCTTCTTCGTGAGTTTTGCTATGCCAGAAGATTCGCTGAAGATCCCAATTGTCTGGATGAACCTTGATCTGACGATACATCTTGGAGATGTCCGCAGAGAAAGTCCATTTCAATGTGCGTAACCAGAAGAGTATATCTGTTATGTTGGGCAGTAGATTAGGTCCCGTGTAAGTTATGCTGTTGAGTGAATGTCCAGAGGAAGTAAGGGCTGATCCATTGAAAACCACCCTGATTTTGGCGTTGTCTCCATCTTCCTTTAATGCGCCGTGATGAGGCAGATAAAAATGAGGCTTGATGTTGAGCTCATCTGCAGGCACCGGTCGCATATGGCCAAGACTCAAATATTCTTTAATGAAATCTGTATAGAGCTTGTCGTACTTGTCGTCTGTTTTGAGCCTGGCGACCGTGCGATCGAAGAATTTACGAGCACGGTTGACTGAGTTGCCCAGCAGAGATGGAGATTGCTTCAGAGGAAGTTTCACCACGTATCTTCCGGTGCTATCCCGAGAGTGAGTTCACACGGAGTGTTCCTCACACTCCTGTTCCTCTGGTGTAAGCTGCGAGCTTGACTTTGAAGGGACCTCTTCTTGAATCCAGAAGTTGATGAGTAATTCCTGGAGTTTATCTTCTATTTTTGATACGATATGGTGAGTATGACGATAAATCTTTGTAACAGGCTGGTTAACGCAACCCGATAAAATCCAACCAAACAGTGTACGTTGAGCGATAGGTTCTGATAAAGAACCTCTGAGCAGATCTGAGGTGATTATAGCTGAATAGTAGTCAGTGCCAAGTAGCAAGTCTATGTCTCGTGGCAGATAGGATTGAGGGTCAGCTAACTCCAGAAACTCCGTATGCAGCCACGATCTTGTCTTACATTGAAAAGATGGTAGTGGAGCTGTTACTCTAGGCAAGACGTGGAGCACCACATCGACGCTGGAGTCTGAATATAATGAAAACAATCTGAGTTCTACTTTACCAAGTGCTTTACTGACTACGTTGCCTCCAATGCCCAGGATACAGATGTTGGACTTCGTGCGCGTCAGCTGCAGACGCTTCACAGCATCTTCCGAAATATATGATGATTCTGAACCTTGATCGATCAGAAGCCTAAGATGATGATGTGCAGCTGGAGCACGTACCTGGGCTACTGCTGTTGGCAACAAGATAGATGAGTGACTAGATGTTTGGTTGGACGATGTGATCCTTGTTGAGTTTGACTTGATGTTGACTCTGGGATGAGTATTACTAGATGTGGAGTTTCGACGATGAGTGTGTCTGATGACTGCGCTGATTTCCTATTCTTGATGTTGAGTCGGCTGAGACGCCAACCTGCTTATCGGTTGCAACAACCGAGCGCCGTGAATCATGGTATGGTGTGCCCTACCACAGGTTTGGCACCTCTTCGTGTTCGTACACTTAGCAGCAGCATGGCGGCCCAAACAGTTGAAGCACAAAGCCTTGTCATCCACGAACCGGTATCGTTGGTCAATGGAGAGGGCCGCGAATGCCGGACAGCGAGCAATAAAGTGTTGCTGGTTGCAGTGTGCACGGGAACACTGAAGGAGCCGGTCTATCATTCTGCGACCGAGCCGAACTCCCAACCCGAATCTGCTGAGCGTTGCTGCCCGGTTGAGTGTTGCCGAGCGGATGAGTTTGACCTGTATGAGCGTGCTGAGCTTTGCTCGGTTTGGATTGAGTCTTACTAGATGTGGATGAGTTATCTTGTCTCTTGGTTGACTGAGCATCAACCATCTCCAAGGCTTGGGCCCGCTCGATCAAAAACTCCTCCAAGGCTTCGCACGCCAGGAAGTCGGCTCTTGCAGGTGTCGATGTTTCCCGCGCCTCTTTGGTGGGTCGATCCAACGCTCGGAGCAGCTCATCCACGAACAAGGCATCCAGCACCTCTTGAGCAGAGCCAAGGCCAGAAATAAGCCTGCGGAGCTTTCGACTCTCCGTTGCCAAATATATCAGCGACCCAACGCTGCCGACACGCATCGGTGGAATGCGTATCTTGGCCTGCAGCAGCTGTGCGAGCACAAACCGCTTATTTTCATATCTCTCGAGCAGAGCATCCCAAGCGATCTTGAAGGATTCAGCAGTGAGAGGGAGTCCCTTGATGAGCTTTGCTGGCTGGCCCGAGAGCGACGCTCGCAGGTAGTAAAGGCGCTCCAAATCGAAGAGCCTCTCGTCTTCCATAATATTTGAGAAAAGATCTCGGAAACTCACCCATTCTGTGTAGTTGCCAGAGAATTGCGGAAGCTTAATCTCCGGGAGCTTGCCTCATTGAGTGTGACTGACAGTAGTTGCTGCCGCTGATGAGTTTGCCTGTGAATCCGGATGGGCAGCGAGCAGCCGGGTTATGACTCTCATTGACCTCGAGTATGCCTGCTGCACGGCTCCTGACGCACTCTGACTGAAATACATATTTCTGAGCAACACCGCCGGGCACGCATTTTCAATGAGAGCATGCTCACGCTTGAACTCCTCATAGAGCGCGACGCAGTCCTCTCTTAGCTGCATGGCCTCAGCGTGACTGCACTCCACAGTCGCCTCCTCAGCAGCTTTGCCACACGGGCTCAGGCCAACTATGCGCGCTCTCTGTGACTCGATTTTCGCGAGGAACCCGGCCGGAATCACATTTTCCGTCGAGCGCGTGCCGCGCCCCGGCAAGCCGTCAGTAACAGAAACCCGCTGGCCATCGATGATGGTAGTCGCAGAGACATCGTCACTCGCAGCCACGGCCGCTGCATCGGCCCTTTTAGCAGCCTCTGCCATCGCGCACTGCCACCGGATCACTTCCCAATCACCCCGATCCGGCTTAAAGGACCAAAATGTACGAGGCATATGCGTTAGTACACACTAGGCTCGGATAGGGTGATTGGGAAGACACATGAAAGCAAAATAAAATTAAACAACATAAAATAACAACGTTTAATATCACTCAAAGGCCAAGAAATCACAGTTAATATTCACAAAAATAGTAAAGGTCAAAATTATACAGGAGAAAATAAATATAGTCTTAAAGCAATGAACTATTGAAATATATAAAGGCGAAGAATGTAGAAAGAAAAGAGTCAAGTTGAATAACACAATATGTAAACACGCACTGACCTTGAGCTCGCAAGAGAGTTTTAAAGTTACATGAAATAAATGTGAAAATGAAAGCACTGATATAGTATAACTGATTGAAATATTGATTAACTAAAAACCACTGACTGTAGAAATGCACAATTACTGTCTGTGAAAATACACAAGAGTTTCACTGAGTCTTGTTGTTGATAATCACCGGTAGTTCGATGAGATTAACTATTTGAGCTGCAAATTATGCAGTGAGCAACTTAAACAAAGCACTAAGTGCACTGCACTGCACAACTGAGTTTTGTCCACTGTATTGCGAGAGTTAATCAGAAGATTTACACTAGCATTTAAGGTGATGTATGGACCTTTGAATGCTAGAGTTTGGCAAAGTAAATAAAGAGAGTCTATCTTCGACGAGAGCTGAGTATAATCTTGCGCTTACAGTATACAAAGCTTGCCGCGTGAATACGCACACACTCACCTGCAGCGTGCCAAGTCGACCAAGCGCACACGCACAGAGCATTGAGCCGACAGAGACTATAAATGTACACAATGTACACAAAAGCCGGGTCTACTATCAGTCGCTCTCATTTCCAACACTAGATAAAAAAAGTATTTCAAAAAATAATAAATTATTCTAACTTAGTCTTACATTTTAATTATAAGTGTAGTTTCTAATATAGATTTTGGAAAGAGTTATTAGTAATTAAAAAAAAAACTTAATACATGTTGCAATTCCAAACCTTATTTTTTAAGAAGTTGTTAAGTTGTTATATTAATAAGGGAACGATTGTGATAGATTTTCCTTGGGAACATACATTTTTTTAAGTCTCCAAGTGAAATTTCTTCTAGGTACATGTTGTTTCTTTGTAACTATTACCCACTAATTTACCTTTAAAGTGAAAAAAACGCTTGTGCAAGAACGCACTTTTAATTGTTATATTTTTTTAAAGCGTGTTGTGATAAACAAGTGGACCTACAATGAACACTTACCTTTCAAAGAATTTTAATTAGTACTAAAAAATTGATTAGCTATTTTTCTTAGCCTCCGTAGCTCTTCTCTCTGTAAGTATACCTTGTATACATACGAAGTAACTGCCAGAATGGAGGAGCGCCAAAAAAAGTAAGCTACTCTACTTATCTAACATTTACGTCGTAAAAATAAATTTTTGTGGATTATTGTAGGTTAAAATATTTTATGATTATACCATGTTATATCTAAGCACATGTTGGACAGCTATTCCAGAACGTCTTATTTTTTTAGGGTAAAGCTTTTAAAAATTCTAATCGAAAAACAAAAGACGTACCTGTTTGAGTACGTGAAGGATCCCCCGCAGGATCATGAATATGCACAATCAAGTAACGGACGAGTGGGAAAGTCTGGAAAATACTTTGAGCCTGGTGAGATCACCGACTAGATCTGTTGTGGGGTGGTAAAGGGTATAAAAACAAAGTTTTATAAATAAGCATTGCAACAGAAAATGAGTGCATGAAAATTCATAATAATTTTGTAGACAGTAAATGACAAATTCAGAAGAGATAAAGCAAAGTTACGAGACAATATAAACTTACAGGCTAAAATCAACAATGCTTTATCTTAGGTAACTGATAACTACTGTAAAAATGAACCATCGCCAACCACTCCTAGTGCGAACTCTGAAGCTTCAGATGTCTTGGTGGAAAATGTGGTTGCGGAAATTATTAACACAACACAAGTACCTGTTGAGGCAAGTTTTTTACGAACATTGTTACTAGTGCCAACCACGATATCCAGGCCATCTACTTCGTTTCGGGTGGAATTTATTGGTAGTGAATACCAATCACCCTTAAATACAAGTAAGTGTGAGTCACAAAACTTAATCATTTAATAATTCTCAGACTGAGACAATTGAAAAGAATACCATTATATTTGTCTGTCTCAATTACTTGTACAACGGAATATTAGGATAATAGTTTATGACAGGTCTAAAATCATATGAATATTGCATCTGACTTACAAAATTAGGAGCAAGTGAATCAAATATGTAGCAGAATGTCTGTTGAAAATCCAACTACGTCAAGTCCTTAATCTTCAAAACCTTCAAAAAGAGGTTATATCGAAAATGTCATTCCATGAAAAATGACTAAGTAATAATTGTAATTTTTTTTAGCTAATATTACTTCTGCTGCATATGACGTGGTAGATGCAGTAGAAAATGCAGAATGAGCTTTTAAATAATGTGCTCAAGAACTGAAATGAACCAAAAGTATTTTGATTCATAAGAAAATTGTAAAAAGTAGAGTTAATTATAAAGAACGTGAATGTTTAAAAGATATGTATGAATTTTTGCAGAAACTGAATAACACATAAAAAATTTACGATTTACTTTGTAGTAAGAAAAATAACAATTATTTGAATCTATTACGTGTACAATAAATATAGTTTTATGAATAATAGTATTTTATTTAGAGCTGCAGTTATGTTTCATGTAACAGTGTACCACCTGTGTACGGACAGATGTCTATAGAGATCAAGAGGTCGTCTATAAGAGAGAAAAAGGTGGTTCGTCCCGAGAGCACGCCAGGACTCATCAGTAAGGCTGATGACGTGCTTCCTGCCTTAGACACAGAAGAGGTGTGGGCTTAGAGTGACTCGATCGCGCTTACATATGAATCGTGCGAGAATTTCGCCGCTTGACGGGAGCGAATATTAGGAGCTTGGCTACCTGGCGAGTAGAGCCTGAAGCGCGAGAGATGTGAGACGCCACATCACTCCCCGCCTAGTCACGACGATGGTGTAACAGGAGGAAGTGACGATATGAAAGTCGAGGGTGTGAAGGCATGAGAGGGAGAAAGATGTTGAGAAGAAGTCTCGTTGGATCTCCGGGTCTTCCATGCTCCGTTGCGAGAGATGCGGGGCACGTTGCTGCCGAGCGTGAACGAGTTGTGCGATGAGCGCAATCGTGTGGTGCGGGGCGCGTTGCCGCCGTGCGTGAACGAGTTCGTGCGATGAGCAAATCATGTGGGGATTAGCTGTGTTAGCGTGTACCGGGCGTGGAAGATGCGGAGATGCGTGAGAGTACAGGTTCAAAGGGTAGGATCGCCAATATGGAGATCATATAGGTTCGAAGGGCAGGATCGCCAATATAGAGATCAAGAGGTCGTCTATAAGAGAGAAAAAGGTGTTTCGTCCCGAGAGCACGCCAGGACTCATCAGTAAGGCTGATGACGTGCTCCCTGCCTTAGACACAGAAGAGGTGTGGGCTTAGAGTGACTCGATCGCGCTTATATATGAATCGTGCGGGAATTTCGCCGTTCGACGGGAGCGAATATTAGGGCTTGGCCACCTGGCGAGTAGAGCCTGAAGCGCGAGAGATGTAAAACGCCACATGTTTACGCTCCTTTAAAAAGGGACTTTGTGCGCATGGCTCTAGGTACAAAAATAAAGTAAATCCTCATAATTGCAGTTCATTCTAAATTATGTAGAATTATGTAGAATTACGTTTAAAATGTTCTTGGGATGTATTTACAAATATTTATTGGTTTTAAGCTTGTACAAGCCATTAAGAATTTAAAAACATTGTGACATTTATATTGAATTTTTTTTTTCTTAAAAACAATTGGCATAAGAATAGTTTGAACTACTCGAAGAATGTAAAAAAAAGGATTTTCGGAATCCTTGGAAGAAAAGGATGAAAATAAAAAGGCTTCCTACATCTACGTTGTTTTCACGTAGCTGCATAATCTTGTGTTTACAAACAAATCTATGGACTAGGCTATAGGTGTACTTCTGGTAGAAGTATTGACAGTATTACGATCACACAACCTATCTTATATCATATGCTAAGCGAGTCGATCATCAATTTATTTACATTTTCACAATCGACCGGTTCATAACATTTTATTTTATTAACACCAGTTAATAGTAAAAATTGACAAGGTACGGAGAAACGCAGGGATAGGGAAAGGCGGTAAGATGTATTTCAATGCGTACAATAAGTATTGATACTTTAAAGCAAGTGTTTTATTATTTTTTTTTTTCGTAACATCTTAAGCAAACTCATGTTGTGATTTACAGTTAGCTTACAGCTATTGTTCATGCTTATGTTTTTCTTATGAAAACAGGGATGATGGGACTG